GGTCTGGTCTGGTCAATAATGACAATTTTTCTCGGAATTATTCACAACATATATAGATCGACTCAGTTTTTTATGCTGATATCGAATGTGATATTAGTTTTGAACAAAATCGTAGCTTTCTAACAAAACATCGCCTGAAAAAGGTCTAAAAAATGTATAAAAACTGCATGAAGAAATCAAATAAGCTAGATATGTCTCAGATGATAAAAAATAATTGAATATACCTGTTCACTTTTTGAAGTACACATAACACTCGGATTTAAATCCGAGGTTTTCGCATTTGTTTTAAGTTGCAAATGAAAAAATGTATCATTAATTCGTCAAGTATTCTTTTGTTGACAGCTTTTTTTTAGAAACATTTGTTTGCTCAAATTCTATCCTCAATTAAATGTCTAAATTGTATTTTGATGTTCACTTATCAACTAAATATGATAACATTTATAGGCTAGGAAAGAAAAGATTATAATAAAGATATGGCGTTGAGCTTTTAGTATATTTTACCGGAATCTATATGAAAACGTACATCTCTTAAAAGTTCACTTCCTTAAATTGAGAATTACACGACATTAGAGAAAAAGAAGGCTACTGAAAAACTGTGGGATCAGAGTTTTTACTTGTAGTTGAAGCTTGTCTTTTACAGAGTATTACCCCAATTTCGGCTTAAACATTTTTATTCCTTCAGGTCCTGATTTCATTTCTAGAAAAGGGTCTTGTGTTTTTACTAATTGGTATGATTCTTTCAAAGTATATAAAATTAACATTAATAATTTTAATAATTTAGTAGTACCATCATATCTAACCTGTGTGTAAAAATTCTTGGGACAAAATGTCCGTTTAAATTTTGCTCACTAAAAAATGGTTGAAGAATATCGAAACTAGACAGTTAAAATGAGAATTCAGTGCTCTTTCCAAAAATATATTTAGAATATCATTCTAATTCCTGATTATTTAATTGCGAACACATACCTAAATGGAGAAAAAATGCCGTTCACCAAGCATAATAAGTTTTTTTTTCCTATTATACATAATTTATCTAAGGGATTTGTTTCGAACATTTTCTATTGTTATGAAGATTTTGATGTTCTGGATATTCATGGTTTCTAATAAGGTAGAATTTAAAAGAATGAAAAATAAGAAAGCAGCTTTTGAAATATTGCTCTTCATTAAAGATGAAGTTTTTCTAAATAATCGATTTCAACGAATTTCGATATTTGAAATTCATAAAAAATAGTTTGCAAAATAACTTTCCTATAGTTTGAATTGAGTCAAATTTAATCAAAATATAAAAATACACTACACGTAAATTCTATACAAACATCTTTATAGGTCCTCATCAAAGATTTGCTGACAATTTATTTCACCTTCAGTCCAGATGAAGTTCTGAATATATATTTAGAAAGAACTCAACATTTCCATTCTAACCAACTAGTTTCAATTTTATTCAGTAACTTATAGCTGAACCAATATTGAACAGACATTTTGTGCCAAGACTTCTTACACGGAAGTTATATATGTACGAATTAGTACCAAATACATGCAAAACCAATTTTTCGTATAATTCAAAATTTTTCTCATTCCTATCCCATTGAATTAAGAAAAATATTTTCAAGGCTGAAAATTCTTGCATAAATACACGATCTAAATGCATGATATTCAATCTGTATTTGCCCAGGTGCCATCTTGATTATGTCAAATTTTAGAATCGGCCGATATACGGTAAGCTTTTACAAGCGATTTTCAGACTAATCATCAGATTGAAAAAGTTATTTTCCAGGTCGGTGCTACCCTCAAATCATGAATAAAAAGAGGTCCGTTTGTAGATAGCTTACTCAGAACAAAATAAATATAAAATATATGGAATAAGTTTTGAATAGAAAACCTACTGAGATCATTTTAGAAAGCTATACATTCCGACTACAGTCTCGTCTGGCTTGCGATCATTTTGCATTGTCTTAGGTTAAGCATAAAATACATCCTGAAACAGATTTGTCTACAACTAGGAATCGTAAGAAAACGTCCGGAAGTATTCATCTGATGCTTCTACATGTAAAAACTGATTGTAATCTCTTAGAAAAAGAACGGTCTGTTTATACAGTTTGTGAATGCAGCTTCCACAAGATCCATTCATTTCTGACTGAACATAAACAAATATTTAACAAAATTAGTCGAATAAAATAGACTCAATACTGTTTAACTCTTTAGTTTTTATTAAAAAACTTCTCATTTGTAGCTTTTCTATACAAAATCCGGTATTGTTGGTCGAATATATACCAAAACTGAAAGAGTAGAATCCATGGAAGAACAACAGGAAGATCGCATTGAACAGGATTTTGAAACGAAAATAACAGCGGAACAGAGACTTGAACGTGAACAAATTTACCAAAGACAAATAGAAACAATTCGAGAGCAAGAAAAAATTCCTGATGATGAATTGTCTGATTTAATTAAAACTTTAAAGGATGTTGTTGAAGATTTGAAAGATAATCGTTTATTTTCTGAAAATGGTGCAAATGCGAGACAACATTCAGAATTAGACTACAATGATCACGATTTCCAATATCAGGACGATGCATTTGCAGACAATCAAGAAGTCAAACATCACGATGAATCTCCCGAAGATCAACAAGTTGAAAACAAAGAAGAAAAACAGCAGCATGACCCAACCGAACCTGAGGGTCAATTCGGCAAGGGAAGCGAACAAGAAAACAATGGTGAAATTTCTGAACACCAGCTGTCATCCATAGAAGAAAATCGTACAGAAGGTAAGATTCACTGATAAGAAAATGTAGAATGGAGTTAGAGTCGCTAAACTTAAATCTACAGGAAAAAAACTTCTTTCGTAAGCTGTAGATAGTTCAACTACCCAATGTCGCACACAATAGAATTTCAGTCTGCAGAGTAGCCTAAAAATTTCTCTATAGGTTGATTGAAAAACACAATAGGATATTAGAAAACTTCTATTCGATTCTTCTGTCTAAGTTTTTATCTTTCGGTCAACGCATGTTTTTTCCTATTTTTGTTGTTTATATATAAAATGGCGATGAATCTCAGAAAAACTTCAACTCTGTATCCTAAATGACCTCTATTGCAAATAAACAGCATACCATTTGATTCCTCCTCGTGATACAGCATATCAAGTGATGTTTTTCTTTGGAAAAAGTCGAATTTATCATGTTTATCAAATCTTCAATACAAAAATGAGATATGAAAACAATTGTTGGCTTTCATCTTTAATCTGCCGAAAAGTGAGAACATTTTCTGAAACTATTCAAAACATTATTTGATTCGTCATGTCACAAGGACTCGAATGATAAGTTTTTTTTTTATTTGAAATAGAAGATATTTTAAACATGAAATTGACATTTTTCTGAGATTTATGTCTATTTTATATGTGAACCGCAGAAATAGGAAACA